GACTCGCCTGTACTGCCCGATAGAGTGGCCGTTTAGATTCCGAATTGGTTTGACTGTGTAAGTGCGTCCTTCTAGTTCTACTTCATGTGACGTCATTACCTGCAATCTATATTTTGAGAATGTTCACCACTATCGGATCCAACCTCTTCAATTATTTCTCCCAGATCGCATAATCGTACGTCGATACCGGCTTCGCGAATGCCAGCATTAGTAGCTTCCTTCACCGCATTGACAAGATTATCGTACTTTGGATCAAAATGAAGCGTGAATGCACTGTCTATGAGACGTCCGCGAACATGCACACCAAAGTCGATCTACAACAAGTGTTCAAAAGGAGCGACAACGACTGAAAAAGAAAACAAATAAAAGTCCCACCTTGCATACGTCACCCTGCTGCAGAACAGTAGTATCGCCATTGTTGGGAGTATAATGGGCCGCCACATGATTCAGCGAACAACCAGTTGGAAAAGCAAGTCCAGCCTCGAGACCGTTTTCTTTGATCAGTTGCCGAGAACAAGCTTCAAGGCGCTCGCTGTAAAATCAGCGTTAGTTCGAGATTGACAAATATTGCTTTCATATACACACCATATTTCTATCATCGTCATTCCTGGTTTCACCCAGCTTCTCACGTACTTTCGAACTTGCCGGTGGACTTCTGCCGATCTACGATAATCCTGAAGCGGAATGTTTACAAAACCTTAAGATTCAGCAGTTCTTCAAACCTGATACATATCTTCAAACGAATTATCAAGAGCCTTTTTTTCTTGTTTGCTTTCTCGATCAGACGCAATCCGACCATCTTTGCCTAAAACGAGCACACAGCAAATCATCGCTGACCAAAAATTGCCATTCACACCTTACCCATCAAGTAGTAAGTTTCACATTGTCCAAGAGGAAATTTCCCGTCTGGAAATTGTTCATCCACAGGCTTCATTGCAGCAACTTCACCATGCCAATCAACTGCCTGCGTCTTTTCCATTTCGGGCATAGCGTCACCTCCGCCATTGATGGCGGGAGGTGCATTCTTATCTGGAATGACTAAAAAGGGTACCAGAAAGACAAGTTAGAGGTGACAATACACATGATGATGATATTCATTAACCGCCTTGCGGCTTACATATGGGAAATCAATCCAACAATTTCTATACGATGCCAGTTAGAAAGAGCAACTGCATCATGAGCAAGTGATAGATCAAAACGCAGGAATTATCCAAAGGAGGTGATCTTCCACTCATTGCAAGATCAGCATAGCAGACGTTACTTATACACTGCTGTTCATCATGGAGAGCGCATTATAAACTTGGATTTGTATAAAGTATTCATTCATAAATGCAATCTAATAGCTTAGCGAAACATACTGTGCGTGCCGGCTTACGCCACTACTTCTTCTTGAATTACGCTTGCAAAAGACAGCACAACGAGATATGTATTGCGGATGTTGTCAAATTTCACCCTGAAGTCATGAGTATGTTTATCGTGAAGTTTGGAAATGCAGCACGTCCAGTCCTGCGCAATCATTCTTATATAACGAATGACAAGCGCAATTCAAAAATCTTCCAATTGC